AACGACGGTGAAGGTGAAAGAAAATGGAAAATTATTCGTAATGAATTATTTCCTATTCTGGTTGACAATACGATCGGTACGGAATAATTAGGATCTTCGTGGGGGATCGCCAAAGTGTTTACGGTAAGATTTTCATGTAGAATTAGTTGAGCATTATTGCGGAATTAAGGGATTTATTGTTACTACGGTAACAGTATGCTTTGTGTTTATAATACATGTAAAATGTTAAGGTCACGTTAAGTGGAAAAGGAGAAAATGAAATATTATTCCTAAAATTATATTGTAAAGCATAATAACACTTTTCATTCTATTGAGAAATAAGCAATTAAAATAATATTCGTTTAAATTTCCTTATTCTAAACTATAATTTTACGAATGTTACAGTCCCTCAGAAAAGTAATGGCCGGCGGTTTTTTATTATAATTTTTTTTACATAATAATATAATTTAAAATTTTATTTTTATAATATATATAAGACTTTATATTCTAGAAATATTAATATTTAATATAAATGTTTTCTATATTAATGTAATAATTTTTTATTAAAATATTTAAAAAAGTAATCTTTGGAAATTTTAAGAAATAATTAGTATTTATGCTAATTTTTTGGAATTAGCTAGATATAAATTAGGAAAACAACTTTTTTTAGTGGGAAAAACTGATTAATAATGTAGTTTACGAATTATTGAGCTTTGTTTAGTGGCAAGTCCTAACCGAACCGTTTGTAAAAACCTTTAATATCTCAAAAACTTTATTAAGAAACTGGTTTAGAGTACGTACATGTTTATGTAAATGTGTTCAGCCGATCGATTTACAATTAAAATAAAAATTTCAGAGAAGTAAACATTTTAAACGTCAATCGGCCATTACTTTCCGGGGGACTGTATTTTATAATACAATTACTTATGATATACATAACAATAAAGCATTTTATTGCATTTACAGTACATAAAACTAACTCAATTTTTATATCGATATAGTTTTTGGATTTTAAATCAAAATTTTTAAGCAAAAGTCCAAATTTTGATTTTCAATTTCTTTACCTATAAATGACAAAATATATTCATGTCAATGACTGTATATTAAGCCTAATTTTATTCTAAAAGAAGTCATAGCGAAGAATCGCTAGAATAGTTTATAGTAAATCGAAATAAATGCGACCTTAATTGCATTAGTTGCATTATGGTACTATGACCTTTATTCTTTCTCTACTACATCAACATACTTATTATATCTCTTAATTATATCTATACGCCATTCTAGTGCCTCTTTATCATATCCCCTCACTTTAGATCTATCATACCATTCATCATAAGATTGCTGACTAATTTGATAATTCTTTTTAATTAATTTACTACTTATGAGCCTTTCACAGGCAATCTTACAGTATTTCACATAATCATTATATTTGATCCACTCTGTAAAGTCATCTCATACAACAATAGTTTGACTCACATACCCATCAACCAATCTATAAAAAGCATTCAGGTAATTATCCCTACAATATGTAGTCTTTTCACAGCCCGGATCTCCGTAATATAACCCAATTATCAGTTTAATTGGTAAAACAACCTTCTCGTTGGCTATAATCCCTATAAGTCTATCGACTCCAGAATAATATAGGATGTAATGTTCAGGATGATTCTTCGTAATTTCTGATGTTGTAGCACCTCCCTTAGTTTAAAACAGATCAAACTTAGTGGAGGTAACTTTCCTTCTATATTAGTTAACCAAAAAAGCGTGCACATAACATAATTACAATCTGTGCTCAGTTCCTGATCATATACACATGAAAAACCAATAAGGGTGCGCAAATTTTTGATCAGCCTAGCAAAACAAATCTGATACAAAAAAAATGTAAAATGTGAAAAACACGGGAAACAGATGTCCAAATCTAACTTTGATATCTAATAAAAATGTCGGGGAGGCAATTTTATATATAACTTTGTCATCCACCCTAACCCTTATCCTAACCCAAACGATAAAATCAATCTTTAATAGTTGCTGGCACACATATAATTTGTGCATCCTTATTGATTATAATTACATGTGGATCTCCGTTTAATTCCTCCAAAATAACATTCAACTAGTTCAGCCCCATCAAAAAGACCCTTTAAATCTCAAGCATAGTCTTGTTGTGTCTCAGTACGATAATCAGTTAAAGAGGGGTTTTTCGCAACTGGGATGAGAGCTAGACTAAATTATTTACGATCAAAGAGTTTTTTGGGTATTCTAAGAGTTTCTTATGGCGACTTGTACGTAAATCAATTTTTTATTAATAAAGTGATTTTAAAATAGAAGCATATAAGACGAAACGTTTCGGATTTTGACAAGTAAATCGTAAATTTATTTGCAAAAACTAAATTGTCGGTGAAGAACGTTCGATTTTTACTGGCAGCTTTGATAATTATAATATATATATAAAATAATTATATTAAATAATATGCCAGTTTTTGAAATATTTACTTCGCGAATTCTCTTTAATTGTCGCATTTACATTTTGTTCTGTATAATAAATAATAACCATACATAGATATTAATCACTTTTATTGCCAATCGTTTTCACTTTCAGGAAACTTCGGAAACAAATTTATTTTTTCTTCTACTAATTTTTTTTTTACTTATATGCTCGAAACACTAATTTAAAAATTATTTTCGCCCAAAGTACCACTCGTCACCCACGATTCTCTCATAAACATTGATTCATCACTAACAATCAAAAAGTTATCGTTAACAAACCTGACGCAAACTGAATCTTCAAATAAAGCTTCAAAAAAATAATGATAAAGTCAAACCAAGGGAATTAATAAGTATTGAATAATATATTGAAGTTCCACTTGATCGATACAAGCAATCGCATTGTATGCTAACTTTATCTTTAATAATGTTCAATGAGATTGAAGTCAGAGAACTATGTTGAACAATCAAGAAAAGCTTTATTATGTGAAATCCATATAGTGTGTACATGTGGACTGATTCAGGCATACCAAAAATATATCAATGATTGATTTTTTCCTGGATAGATGTAGTGATATTAAATCCTTTGATTCCATAATTCTGACCCTCAGTTTCCACATGAATATCTTTTTTTCATAACGACCTACATGATAATCCTTCCACAATTAGGCTAAGTTTAGAAATATTTTGTTATGAATGAACATTGCCTTTTTTCTAATATTATGAACATCCCATCATTCTTCAATATTAATGCACGTAACGATAGTGATTATCAAGAGGACGATAATTATCCCGACAATTATCTGGACAATTGAGGAACATCGAATGATTATTGATGCACGTAACGATATTACTTGTGAATACATTATTATTTTGATTAAATTTCAGTGGATGCTCCTCCACTTAAAACAAGCCATTATTTTTCTTTGATTTGATTTTGTTTTTTTGAACAGGCTGTATCAATAAGTCCTGTGGAATTGATTTTGTTTTCTTTGTACAGGCCGTATCAATAAGTCCTTTCGAAGTAACCCTGTTTTTTCTTGGATAGGCCGTGTCAATAAGTCATATCTGATTGTTGTAATAAACGCAACAGTCTGGTGCCTCCGCCTCATCCGTCACGA